CTAGTTTCACATGATTTACATTTTTAGTTCAAATTTATATACATTAACAAAAAAAAACACAAAGAATAAACACACAAAAAATTAAATCGGAAAATTAAATATTAAACACACAAAGTCAATCTAACAAAGCCAAAAAGAAATCACCCACGCTGCCCATCCCTGGTTAGTAAGTCGAAGTCGATCGATCTAATAAATCTAAGAAAGTCTGTCTTGAATTCAGTAAATAACTTTTGTTCCGTCTCAGGCCAATTTCCTCTTTTGATAATTATGCTTTTTATTAACTCAAATCGCTGTCTGTCAAATCGTTTACATTCATATATTATATGTTTAAAATTTTGAACCTGTCCGTCTTCATCGCATAAGTCTGTTTGTATAATGTTGAATCTTTTAAGATATTGTTTTGTATTCCCATGTTCCGTAAGTACTTGCGTAAGTTTGTAGTCATTACTGTGAATGTGTCTGTAATTGTGAATTGAAATGTGTGGTATAAATCTGTGTAAGCTTGGTGACTTAGCTGAGGTCACCCATATGTGATCCCATCTTTTGATGAAATCCAACTTTAAATTCATATTAATATACGATAAAGGAGCTTGATGATACGATGGCGGCAAATCGCTTTTAGCTGCTTCTTTTGATTATATATTATATTTGCTTATATGCTGCTTATATATATATATATATATATATATATATATATATATATATATATATATATATATACACATATAAAAGATTTTTGACTGTTGTAAAAGTGATTTATTAGGCTTCCACGTATAACGCTTTTTTTCAGATAGCGCTTCATTTGACAAAAAAGATTTAAATTTAAATTTTCAAATTGTCTGGCCACAAAGATTTAACTGAATCAATAGTTCAAAGCAGCTTCCATATAATATATAACCTACTAAACTGGTTCCAGCAATCTTTATATTTAATGTTACAAGAACACATATCACTACTGTTAGTGCATAAGGTCGTATGTAACAATTTTACATTGTTATTCTACTTGTGCTAAAGATGGCATTTTGTAGTATGTAAGTAGTCTGCTGTAAGTAGTCTATGGAATATCGTAGAGGACTATGGAATATAGTAGAGGGAAATAAAATATGAAATTATACTGATAAATCATAAAGAAATAATCAATTTTTATGCTGTTTTGTAAAAAAAAAATCTTCACATACGATATTTTGCACTAACAGTAGTGATATCTTATCTTACATATCAAAAGATAGATTCAGCAAACCCATGTCCGATTTTGGGTAGGATGCATGACCTCTATTACCAACCGTAATAAATTGGATTCGCTATTTAGCTTCGTATTGTTACTTCCATTCCATCTTTTCCAAAGCAAATTATCTATAACTTCCTTGTCGCAAACGTTCGTACTCTGTGGCATATAATTAATTACGATGAGAACAGAATCCTCGATTTAGAACTAATAAGCATTCAATCCTCGTGATCAATCTGTTCCATATTACATTTCTAAGCAAATGTTTACTGCAAAATTATATTATATTGATAGTATATTAATTTAACGAATATATTTTACTATATATATTAACTATTTTGAGAGAAAAATCCTTCGCACGATAACCGAAGCGATCTGGGATCAGATTACTAACACATGGAGAAGAAATACCAATAATGAACTGCTAACAAAAATTGGTCAATGAATATCCTATGATATGAAGCCACGGAGGTTAAAATGGGCGGGGCATGTAGCTCGTAGAAATCCATTTGAAATTCTCTACGTAACAATGAATGCCTCAATAGGCGGCAAAATACCACGTGCAGATGGATAGATAGAATCAACAAATATGCAAAAGAGCTGGGTGGAGATAAATGGAAAGAAATAGTCCAAGACATGCAGAGATGGAGCAGGCTTGTCAAAGCTGCAAAAGATCTACAGAGTCTGTAAGGACAGCAGAAGAAAAGAAAATATGTATATATATTAACGAATATATTGTATTATAAGATTTTTTTTTTTACTTTTAAGAATGGTATTTTGAATAAAATTCAATATTTTTAATTCTCCTCATTTCAATAACATATTTGAAATGCTTAAATTTTTTTTTTAAACTTTTATTGAGTACTAATACAGTCTGCCACACTGAAGCGCATTGATACTAGGGCTATAGTATTCATTCACACAATATGTACATAAGAAAGGAATATATATATATATATATATATATATATATATATATATATATATATATATATATTATATAATATATATATATATATATATATAAAGATAAAGTAATATACAAGATAATTAAAACAACAAATACTTAAATAAATTTATCTTTTATTATGAAGGATCCTATTCCTGATGTATTCCTATGTATTCCTGAAGCTATTCGATATCAGGAATATATATCATTCTTCACAGAAAGTTTTATCTGTGAACCAGATCTTTGTTGTTGATTAACAGGGATAAGAAAAAGTGAAATATGAGACTAAAACTTTAAAAATGTAAGAGCTGTGAAACTGGGTTGAAAGAATGTGTATGAAACAAAGTTCTAAGGGGGGCAGAACAAAAAAAGAAGTAGGTTACTGAAGTTTACAGTTTTAAATATCAAGAAAAAAATAAATGCTATTTTTTTTCTGTTGGAGTTAAAATATAAAAACACAGAATGTAAAATAACAAAAAACATTCCGGAGGGAAATCAAATGACTATTTTTTAATTTATAGAATGAGAAAGATATCAATTTTCCAAATATGTATGTATACATCATAACAATTTTTAATTTTATTTGTTGATTAAGGGAGGGTAATTAGAAACATAAGGAATGGAATGTTGAGGTAGAAAGAGACGAAGAAAAGTGAAAGAAAAAAATCAGTATAATATTCTGAAAGAATTAAATGAGGACAGAGAGGTCGCATATAAACAAACAAACGTTTATATAAATAATATATTTAATGGCCATAGTTATATCATACAATAAATAAAAAATATTTAAATGTGCACAATCTTTACAACAATCCAAAATTTAAGTATTTATAATTTAGCATTTTTTTAATATCAAACATTTCTATAATAACTATGACTGTGTGAGAATTCTCCATGGTACGTCACTAACATTTCTTTACATAAAGACCTATACATGCCAACTGTTAACAACCACATACTGATATACTCAACTTCTCAAAAAGAAATTAGTTCTTAGTTGGCAATCCATGTAGAACCGAACAAACTAAAGGAAATAAAAAATCAATAAAACTAGGGTCCACCTCGAACCTCCCTATTCGTAGAGAGGAATTCGTCTTAACTAGTCTGAGGTTAGGACATACAAACCTTCCGCATTCTTGTCTTACAACCAAGCAGCCGGCTCCAAAATGCAACAGTGTTCTCACAGTCAGCCACATTCTCCTACAGTGTCCTTATAACATATCAATTCTAACCAAATTGGTACTCATACCAAAATTATCAGTTGTTTCAAATAATGATGAAGTTAAAATAAAGTCGGTGATAAATTTTCTTAAAGCTAATGATTTACTAAACACAATTTAAATCTAACTATTTAAGTGTATATATATATATATATATATATATATATATATTATATTATATATAATTATATATATATATATACCTATATAGGTATATAGATTACCTAGATACCTATATCAATATATTAGATGCAGAAAATCAAACTTGTTTGAGTTTCTGCATCTAATCTATTGATATAGGTATCTAGGTAATCTATTGAGTCATAGGTAGATCATAATACTTTTCTAGTTTTTCACAATATCTACATGTATTTTCAAATAAAAGCCTTAAGGAACATAAATAAATCATTCATTTACTCTAGTTATTTTATTTATTTTTATTTTATTTTTTGTATTTATTACTAAAATTGGCTACCTATAAAACTTATTTTGCGTTTCTTTCCTATTCTATTTAGTTATTAGTATGTTTTTTTTTTTACCAATATTATAATATTGTAACCCTTTTAACCATCTTCTTTCCTTAATATAACCTCCAGAACTATATATATATATATAGTTCTATTATAATAATACCTATTATTATAATACTATTATAATAATAGGTATTTAATACCTATGAATTAAAATATATTATTATTATATATATATATATATATATGTATATATATATATATATACTCATTTTACTACTTAGATTTTAGATACACTCTATTATAATAGGCCAGATTTATTGTCAATTGATTTGAACAATATTTTTATTCTTAAGGGACCTAGTTCCAGAATAAAGATATTTTTCTAATTCTAAATCTGAATTTTTAAATTTTAATTATTTATTTTTCCCCATCATAATTTTTTATTGAAATAATTGAAATGCAAATTAGATAAGTATTAATGATCTTGAACAATGTCACGATAACTTACCGAACATACTAACACACTCATTCATCGTATAATCAGAAATAACATTTCCCAGAAAGCTCTTAAGAGTTCCCAAAGAAGCACATCGACGGATCTTCTCGTCTAAATAAAAATAATACAATGAAAATAGGAAGATTGATGAAAAAATAGTAATAGTACCGAAGATTAGTAGCATGATCCGTCTAAAAAATCGCTGAATTCGAACACTAGTATAAATCACAGCGTTGGATTTATATTTCATAATATATATATATATATATATATATATATATATATATATATATATATATATATATATATATATATATATATATATATATATATTGGTATATTTCATAATATACCAACGAAATGAAACGCTGAAAAGTTTGTAAGTTGTTAGGTAACAACTTTCAAAAGACAACAACAAGAGATCTTCAAATATCAGAAGAGAGGAAGGAAATCGACCACATGGAGGGGATGAAAAATGGTCTAGAGAAACCCCTATGAATAAATTTTACCAATATTTTTCATGGGCTTAAGGGTGAGTATTATCAAGGAAGATTATAAATTCGAAATCATAATGAAAATATTGTTTTTATTAAAAAAATCTATTGAATTTTACATTGATTTTTGTTTTTGAACATGTATGGGGGGGTAAAGATGAATATAGATTTTGAATTGTATTCGAGGTTTATTGGAGAGTTATGGTTTAGTGGTGAACGTAGCTGACGCCTGCGTATGGGTAACCGGCGTATCCACCATATCCGCCATGACTGTATGGGTAGGCACCATATCCACCATATCCGGCATATCCACTGTAACCATGTCCGTATCCCAGTCCGTATGGGTAGCCGGAGTAGCCAGAGTAAGGCAGAGCGCCATATCCGTAACCACCTAGGGACAGACAGTTTTTTATATTATTATTAAAAATATTATTAACTGTATTTTTAAAATATCTTTCAAGGAAAATTTTAATAAAATTAAAAACTTAGGTATTTTTTTCCCTTTTGTATGTGATAGAAAGATTCCTTTTTTTTTTTTAAATATGTAATGCAATATAATTGAAACACTTTCAATCTTATATTAATGTCCATACACATTACTTAAATATAATTACATAATTTAATTTAATGGTTATATAATTATGTTATATTATTCTTACCATAGGAAAGTCCCCTCTTGTCACGAGCTTCTTCAGCGGCAAAGACCACGGCGAAGAGAGCGACGCAGAAAACGATCTAAAAATAGGAATTTTATATTTATTAATCATAAATATTTATCTTTATAGAATTTATTGGAATAAATTAAGGATTGGTTTTATAAAGCAAGTCTCATTAAAATAGATTTCTCATGCTTAATCATTAATAGTATAATTTTAACAATAGAATCTTGACCAATTTAGACGTAGTGTAACCACATGCATTTCAATAGAACACCGAATAATGAAGCGACGATAAGAGCGATGATTAAGATGAACGTAATAGTGTTAAAATATTTTTTATAATATTTTGAGAAAATAAGATCAGTACGAAGTCGCGAAAAAAGTTGGCCTTCAAAAATATTGATCCGTTTGGCAAAACTTACACCCCGAAATTTCAAAATAACGAGGTTATATAGGCCAAACAGTCAAATATTTTTGTAAGCCACATTTTTTATAGATTTTGTGATCGAATTGACTTACGATCCAAGTGGAAAGGAAATGAATCTTTACGAGGTTTTGGTACCTAATTAAATAGATAATGTTTACAGACCTTCAGATTGAAAACGCCCCAATTTCTAGAATTATAAATTTTTTGTAGGTTACGATGAGAACAAGCTATTTACGTAGTTTCAGCTGGATGTTAATAATTTGATAAGATGGGATCTGTACCACTGACTAAATCTTTTTTAAATTACTTAGAGAATTTTTCTTATAAATTGAATCGATAAAAACTTTTAAAACTTTAAAAATTTATAAGACGTCGTTTAATAAAAATGTATCTCATGTGAAACAAAACACGTATGTAAATATTCAAGGAATGTAAATAAATGTGTAAATTTAAAGTGAATATAATTAAATATACCAAAACTTTGACTCCAATTTTTTTATAAGATAACGCGTTTTACAAATATATTTGTAATATATATATATATATATATATATATATATATATATATATATATATATATATATATATATATATATATATACACTCACCAAAGTCTTGAGTGAAGCCATTGCTGTTGTCAGAGAGTGATCCTCTATGTCCTCTCTGGAGGAGACATCCCCTTATATACCTACCTACCAGGGCAGCTCACCTTGTGGACGACTTGGGAGGGCAGCAGACACACCACTTCAATTATCCCTTTCATCTTCTTAACACCTTTAAGGGTATAACTTAAATATCAACCAAGCTATAGTTAACAACTACAGCTATTAATGGAAGGTTTTTAAATATTATTTAATTGTTTTCAGAAGAAGAATGAAAGATTTTTAAAAGGTCTTGTATGTGTCAAAATGTGACTAAGAGAATCGACAGATTTTAGTTAAAGTTTTCTTTAAAACTCCATTAAATGTAAAACTTGGTTCCTTAGATTTAAGACATTTGTGCTCATGGACTTTCTTCCTCTGGATTATTTAGAGCTTTATCAGGTAGTGAGCTGGAGATTTCTTTTTTTGTGCTTGTCTAGTTTTTTTTTATTTTGTTTTTTTTGTATAGCAGTGAAGCAAGCAGGATGTACTGCCAGTCGTTGGCGAATTTCGAGGTTTAGTATGTGTCTATCGTATCAGTGAAGAGACCGATTATAGTATTAGTCCGCTTAACAGACCATTTTTTGTCAAATTATTTACCCTCTAAAACTTAGTGAGTAACTTCATCTAATTGAAATCTACAATTTTTTAATCTGTGAAAATTCTCAGAAATGGGTCGTTTTTAAATTGATTCCTTTGATGAAGATCTAATAACCGATGGATACCCATTTACTTTCCACTTGAAGAAAAAAAAAAAAGGTTTCTCCTCTTAATTAACTATTTAATTAATTGTACCAACTTTATAGAGACTGGGTGTGCCCCTAGAAAATCTCCTGACCCCAGGATCGATCCTCGGCTTATGGAAAAGTATTTGTCATCAGCCGGATTCGAACTGGATGTCCCTGGAAGTCAGTGCTCACCCTCTGAGTTATCCTTTTTCCACTTTAATGGTAACATAATATAATCACAAACAAGAGAGTATAGGTGGCCTACAAAAATATTTTTAAGTAATGGGTCGCGCAAAACAGACTAATATTTGTAAAAGCCACATTTTTCTCGATTTTTTTAAACAAATTATCATACGATTCAAGTGGAAAGTAAATGTATTTTCATTTTAGGCTCCTCATTAAATAGACAATCTTGACCGATATCCAGATTTAAATCGATGAGATGAAGCTAATCAAGCTTTCGACGGATTTTAATAACTTGATGTATAGGTAAAGTACCGTGGAATATATACAATCAGAAAAAATATATATTGATTTAGAAATAGATCTATAAAGTTAATGGTTACGTAGTTTTATTTATTTTTTTTAACTTTAGGTAATAATAAAATGCTAAAAAACAAAGAGTGATTCATTAACCAGTTAGATGAGGGCTTATTATCTTTACTATATATAATAAAGTAGTATATTTCCTTTTCGAGTTTGAGGAGCGATGTATTTGATGAATGCGATATAAAGCAATAGGAAATTTCACGGACAACTGACGAATGTCAATTCATAGATTAAAAAACGCATATGCCAGGTAAGGCAGTATAGCTTCCTCAACGTTTCATTGGCTAAAATATATCTATATTAGAAGGTACACAATTTTTTGAATGAGAATAAAATCTACGGGAGAAGCCGAATTGGAAATACAGTCACCCTTTAACATTCGCGGGTTTGATGTTCACGAATTTCGTTTATCAGCTAATATTAAAATGCGAAAGAGTGCCATATTTGAAGATTCCATATTGATTATTTAAAAAAAAAAATACCAATGCATAGTGAACATGCATTTCACTGCTAATAGTGCAAAAGGTCATTTGTAAAAACTCATTATTTCTTTATGCTTTATTGGTATAATTTCATATTTTATTGTCCTTTGCTATTTTCCATCGTAGCAGACTGCTTATATCAGTTGCATACTACAAAATGCCATCTTTAGCACAAATAGAATATAAGTTGAAAATTTTTACATACTAATTAAGCTTGAATATAAAAATATGTGTGAAGTTCAAACAACTTAGATATTTAAGGAGGTAATCAAGACCAAGACAAACTGATTGGACTTCAATGGAAATAAACACAATCACAAACAAGAAGTTTTTTTTTTTTGTTTACAAATTCAGATTAAAAATTACTTTAAATTTACTGAAAATTACACAAAATCTAAGTAAAACAATAAGTGTCATGCCAGTAATGTTTGGAATCGACCAACTATCAATTAATTTTTTTAATAAAACCTAAAATTTTATAACCCCATAACAATATTGTAATAACCTAACTTCCACGCCATATGATCAGTGCCTTCAACATTTCACAGCCATTATATTGTTAATAATTATTTATATAACTTTTAATTATTAAATGAAATTCAATCAAATTTGGTACTAAGTAATTTCTATACTGTTCTCCAAATTTCCTCTAATTTTGGGTCAAATCGAATGCACCGTTTTTAAACTATAGCCATATCAAATAACATATTATTTCCTCATCTAAAAGAAAAAATAAATTTTGCATCAATCAAGGGCATTGAGTGTTTGCGATGAATTAGAATTTAATAAAATTTATATGGGACAATCTAGACACCAACCCGCACAATTCCTGAAAATTTCATGAAAATCGGATAAACGGTAGTAATTGATATGCCCGAAATTTGACACCGAACGAAATTTGATCCTTGATGTCTGAAACGTAAAACGCGAGTGAAAATTTTCGATTCTGAGCACAAAATATTTTTTAACCTCTCGCACGAACAAAATGCTTCCCTATCTTCGGTTGTGGCGAAACAAAATAAAATATTACTACAACTACAATAAAATTCATTGAAAAAAATGGATGTTGCTCAGATGGTCCCAAGTCGTCGGATCTAGACGGACGAATTGCGGTTTAGTTATTTCGACTCAAGCCCATCTTCATATTTTTCATCGTCGATATTTTTGAATCAATAATATTGAAGCGTTGTCGTCGAAAATGGTATACATATTACAAAGTTCAGTATAATTGTTACAATAAATTATTATCTATTAAAAAGATAAACGAAGGAGCATAGTTCTGAGATACCTAATACACCTCCAAAATATAAATTTTCGGTTTATATTTTTTAGAAGAGCTCTAGAAAAAGGAACATCCATCGTAAACATTTAGAAAAGTATATTTTATCTTGCCATTACTAATCGAGGGAATTTCTGAAACGATTTTCAAGTCAGATTCTTTAAATTATTCTCTGAGATATCATGAGTGTTTTGAAAGAATTTGAGCTCAAAATTCTGTCAAATAACTGTATGAACAGTTTTTAATTAATCTGTTAAAGGTATGTAACTATTTTTTTAGGGAACGAATGTATCGATTTAAAGTTTGATAGGTTATTTTTCTGTTTTCTCTAATTAATATTTTGAAAAGATTTGAGTTTAAATTACTAAAAAAATTTTGTGTTAAATTTATTTAATCTATAATCTAAAAAGATAAGTAACGTATTTTTGAGGGGATGGCTTGACTGATTTTTGATTTTGAACGACGTAATTCCTCCATGGTATCCCTTGAATGGTTGAAAACGATTTCAGCTTGAAATAATGAACAATCGTAAGCAAAATAATGAACAACACTCCAGCATTTTTTCTCTCCAAACTGAACTCCTTTTTTACCCGATTAAGCTAATTGAAAGAAGAGTTAAGTATTTAGATTGTGCATTAACAGTGAGCGGACAATGTAATGCAATGTAATGTAATGAAATGTAAAAAACGGATCGATCGATTTTTACGTTTAATGGCTCAAATTTTTATATGAGAACCCCCCGAATATTTTTAAACAGCTAAAAATACTGTTTGTTTGAAGTAATATTTGAGCTAAATATACCGACCCGTGGTTAGTAAAAATATGGTTAACCAATTTGGAAAAAACTATATAACGATTTTCTCCCGAAAAGCTCCTCGACACGACCTTATCACTACCCAGATCCTAAAACTTCTTCCTCGGAAAAGCCATCCTATTCCTCACTTACATATATAATGCTGTGCTCCGATCCACATATTTCCCAGATTATTGGAAACTATCTATTGTCAAAATGTCACACAAACCTAAAAAAACACCCGAACACCCATCCTCTTACCGTCCTATTTCTGTATTACCTATCATGGGCAAAATCCTGGAAAAACTCATCCTAAAACGCCTGTATCCCATCCTAGACTCTAATCATATTATCCCTGATCACCAATTTGGATTCTGCACATCGCATTCCACTATCCAACAATGTCACCGTGTGGTTGATGTAATCTCCTCTGCATTGGAGCGCGGTATGTACTACACGGGAGTCTTTCTCGACGTTGAACAGGCATTTGATCGAGTCTGGCACCCGGGACTGCTGTACAAACTCCGAAAATTCCTACCACCTACATACTTCCTCATTATCCGTTCTTACCTTACTGATAAATACTTCAAAGTAAACCAAAATAATGTCTGCTCATCCCTCTTTGCTCAATCAGCAGGCGTCGCACAAGGTAGTATCCTCGGTCCCATCCTCTGCATAGTTTATACAGCTGACATCCCAACCCATCCTGACACTGTCATCACCACTTACGCCGATGACACATGTTTGCTATCTGTTAATAATGACACTTTAATTGCATCCCAAACTCTTCAATCACATAGCACAAGCCTTGAAAATGGTGTAAAAATTGGAGAATAAAAATAAACTCAAACAAATCCCATCAAATTACCTTTACCCTCCGTCGTAAACCTTTGACTTCTTGTCCTACAGTATCCTACAATAATACTCCACTTATTCCTGTTGAGCAAATCCGCTACTTAGGACTCCACTTGGATAAACGTCTTACTTGGAATCCTCATACTAGACTGAAACGACAAGAAACTGCTCGACGTTTCCGACTGCTCCAACACTTACTAGACGAACGCTCCAAACTTTTAATTAATTACAGGACTTATCTACTATTACTATAATGATACCTATATGGACATACGGAGTTGAGCTTTGGGGCTCCACCAAACCATTGAATTCCTATCGTATCCAATC